TAGAAACCCCTATTTAAGAATATTATAAAATAACAAAATAACTTTTAATAGCGTACATCGTTCTCTTTATAGTTTTAAAATGGTTTATTTTACGTCTGGTGACCTTTACGTCAAAGACCGTTCAGATCATAATGGTAAAAAATAAAAAAATAAAAAAGTACTTTGCAGCGTACTCATTTTGTTGTTATTTATGTTTTACACCCTGATTTTACGTCCAACAAAAAATGTCGTTGAAACAAATAATTAGATTATTGTTTTATTAAAATATATTATACCTTGTTCTTTCTTTGTTCTTTCTTAGAGATTATTGGTTAAAGCTATTTTCACTTCAGCCTTTTTTTAAGCTACTTTTTTTCAGTGGTTTGTTTTTTTTCTTGACCATTTTTCTAAAAATATAAAAGGTTCAAAAAATGAGTGGTTTCTAAATAGCTTTATCCTCTGACCGCCAAAACAAATTTTGATTAAATTTAAAATCTAATTATAACTTATGACCGTATTTAAGATAAAGATTTTAAAAAAAACCTTTTTCTTCACAAGATGGGATACTGCTTGGATTACGTTACTTAAACATATATTACACAGTAAATATAAACATATATTACACAATAATAAATACAATCAAAATAAATACAAAAAAAAAAAAAAATGTTATCTGGAGCCAGAAAAAAACATTAAAGTCTTACCACCAAGCACTGTTTTTTTTGTTTTTTTGCCGTATTTACAATCGTCATTGTAAAATATGGCAACAACAATTTTTAAAATTTGATAAATTTTACAATAGTTTTAAAAAACTGTTTTATGAAATTTTTTATGAAATTTTATGAAAATGTGCTCTGAGATAAAGATTTATTTCATTTTGATTTTTTTAATTTGCATTTCTGTTTACCGGTTATATTGTTCAAAAAAAAAAAAAAAAAAAAAAAAATTTAATACATCTAAATTTGTCGGTAAAAGGTATCAGTCACCATTCAGTTTTATATTGCTAAAAATAATTTTTTCTAACAACAATTTTCGGAAACTTGTTTTTAATAAAATGGTACTTTGGTTTTTAAAAAAACGGTTTTTTGGTTTTGAGTAGCAAGAGACTACTATTTAAGTAATAAGTAAAAATTTTGAATATGATTTTGGAACAAACATGTTCTTTTATGAAAGTTGACCAGGGAATTTATAGTTAATTTCTGTAAAATAAGATTCAAATATTTTATGAGACATTCCATATTTTGTTTTATACATGAACTCTAAAACAAGATGTATGTTTAGTTTTAAAATTATAAGTGCACCTAAGTTCTACAACTGAGGTTCAAAATGAACCTAAGTTTTACAATAGAGGTTCAAAAAGAACCTAAGTTCTACAATAGAGGTTCTTATTGCCTTATTGAATTTAAACATAAATCTACAAGCGTGTTTTTTTTTGCTGTAAAGTTTGGTTAGTTTAGTGTGATTCGTGCTATCCCAAATATGTTGCCAGAGTAGCTGTGTATAAATGAAAAAATTTGTGGTTCAAACCCCACCTCTGAAAATTTGAAAAAAATGTGTGGTTCAAACCCCACCTCTGGGCAAGTTTTGCGACATCGGTTGGGAAGGAGGCGTGAACTTCCTATTAAATGCTCTTCCGCGATACTCTGTGATAAGACCGTAAGGACTTCTTGGGGCACCTTAATTAACTTAATAAAAAAAAAAAAAAAAAAAAAAAAAAAAATATATATATATATATATATATATATATATATATATATATACAGGGGTGGGACCGCAAAATGTGAACGTTTTTGTTTTATTATAACTATTTTCTCGTTAGATGTAGTTGTACTCTCTCACTCATCAGAAAGTGTCTAAAGAGTTGGTCTAAACGTTGTAAAATGATCTACGAGAATCAAGGAGGTCAAATTGAACATTAATTTTTACAATCAGAAAAGTGTTCACATTTTGCGGTCCCACCCCTGTATATATATATATATATATATATATATATATATATATATATATATATATATATATATATATATATATATATATATATATATATATATATATATATATATATATATATATATATATATATATATATATATAAATTAAATTCCGTAAAAAGATTTTTTAATGGAATTTAAGATTGCCTTAACTCTATGTAAAAAAGATTTATTGATGAATAGTGTAGGGAGCACTAGAGGGATATTTTTTACTTTATTTGATAACTTCCCGGTGGGAAATGAGCTAGCAACTAGCTAGCGACTAGCTAGCGACTAGCTAGCTCTATAGCAATTTTCTAGTGATTTTTTTTTTCTTATTTTAATTTTTGCAAATGTCTTTAACAACTTTAAAAATTCTATTTTTAGTGTTGAGTCTATTATAACTATGAAAATAATTGAACTTTAAACATTGCGATTTTGTAGCAATGTGTCGCTAGCTACATATCGTAGCTTTGTAGCTAGCTACAAAATATCTACAAATCTATACCTGGTTGATAGCTACATATCAAAAATTTTTAGACAACGGTTTTATTACGATATGACGCTAGACACAATAGCCAGTGGATCTTCAGCTTGTTAAGCTAGCTGTCCTTGTAGCCAAATCGCTGTCTTTATCTTTACAAAATCAATAGCTTTTCGCTAACTCAAAAAATCTAGCGATCCTCGTGGCCAAATCGCTGTCTTTATCGTAACGATTATAGCTAACTATTCGCTAGCCGATTTCCCACCGGGTTGTCGCGTGTAAACCATTCATTTATTTTTTAAAATATTTTTTTACTTTTTCAAGTATTTTGACATTTTAATGCAAATAGAATAAAATTGAATAGAATAGATGCAAAATGTGAATGATTGATGTACATTTAAAATACTGATGGTCTCGAAGTTGAGTCTTGCAGAATCCCACAGACTCCATAGTTTTTCTACATGTTTCAACTGATTCATGATGAATCTAGTTAATGTTTCATCATTTCACTTATCCCCAACGATCGCTTAATGTATGCCATTTTGACTTTGAAGCAGACATTAACCATAACATATTAATAAAAAAATAATAATAACTTAATTTAAGAATAAAATTAAAAAAAATTAAAAATAAAATATTAATGAGCGATAAAAAGAAAATTAATAATTTAACAGAAAAAATAAAAAACAATTAATGTGATTAAAAAAAAAGATTTTAGAAATAAATTATTTTAGCGTCTTTTCGCTATATTTTGAAATTTATTTTGTTAAAAATGCTATCATTTCATTTTCAATGCTATCATATCATCATTTCAATGATGGAGAAGAATATTCCTAAAATAGATCTAACCGTCTAGTCGGTTTAGTTATTGGCATTAAAGACATATATTTGGAGAGCCAAGACTGGCCTTAATTCAACTTGTAACTGTTTTAATATAAATTACTTTACCTGTAATTTTATTACTGGGTGTTTAAGAGAAAATAATAATAATAACAATAATAATAATAATAATAATAATAATAATACTAATTAGTCTCGGTCACACTTGCAACAAAGAAAAAACTTTTCAAATTTTCCAACATTCCCCTTTTTTGAAGAATCTGGAGTATTCCCAAAAGAGGAGTTTTAGAAAATACCTAAATTAAATAAAAATAATTAAAAGATGAAATTCCCGAGTGATATAGCTTATTTTAATTTTATTCTTCTTCCCGAGAAAAGAGATTCATAACTTGAATTTGCAGATTCATCTCCTAGATGGACGAACCATTGATTTACTGACCAAATGTACAATGAAGGTTATTATCGGAAGATATTTAGCAGCTTTCACGGACATGAAAAAGCGTTAAACTCAGTGAAAAAGTTTTGGAATCGGTATGCAGAACGAGCAAACACATCAGTATACAGAATGAACAATCAAGAGTCTTCAAGATCATTTAAAAATCTGTAAAAAGAAAGAAAACCTCCAACTTAGATTTTTTTGTTAACAAAGCATAAGAATTGTATTTTTGTAATTGCTTTAAATAAACTATACAACATTTTTTCGATATATACAGTATCTTTTCGTTCTTGTAGAATTGTTATTTAAGTTTGTAATTTTATATTTATTTTTAATTTAGAGTGTTATAATGTAACAATAAACTGTTAAATCTCAAAAACAACATAAAAATTTTCTAATAAAAAAAATTAAAATTATAACAATACAATCATAAAATTGTTGAAATCTTATCCATACGCATATATGGTAAATTCGAATTTGTTGTTTGTGAGTGACTTTTTTCATGAAGAAAATTGAATTAATGTTTTTTTCGTTACTTTTGTAAAAATATTCATTAATTTATCACACAAAAAACACATAACCCTAATATATATATATATATATATATATATATATATATATATATATATATATATATATATATATATATATATATATATATATATACATATATATATATATATATATATATATATATATATATATATATATATATATATGTATATATATATATATATATATATATATATATATATATATATATATATATATATATATATATATATATATATATATATATATATATATGTATATATATATATATATATATATATATATATATATATATATATATATATATATATATATATATATATATATGTATATATATATATATATATATATATATATATATATATATATATATATATATAATCAATAATAGATAATCAGTATATATACTGATTATCATGTTTTGGTGATCTATAGTAGCTTTGGATTTTAGCTGATTATCATTGGTATCATAACAGTCTGTTATTTGAATTGGACACATTGATTTTGAACTAAATACTGCTTCTGATACTGAGTCTATACTAATCATAACATATATTAAATCATTTAATTGTCGGCTATTTGTGGCTATATGTTGTTTCGTGTTTTTTGATTGCCGAAAATTTATCAATACTACTACAAAATTGCTATTTGCCTGTTTTGTCAAATTCTTTTGCTTTACCATTTCTGCCAGTCAGATTCGAATTTCTTTATTTTATTTTTAGATCGTTTTGCTTTATCTAGTCTTTTATTTAAAATTAAAATCAAAGAAACAATACTCAGTAGGGTGTCCCAAAAAAAAAAAAAAAGCTCACTACTGATTCCCATTCTATGTGACTTAAATAAGTACCAAAAAAAATTTGACAGTTTTATTTTGAAGTGATGTAAAATCTGAGTTTTACTCTTTTAAGCTGGCTTAACATTAATAGAAAACACAATTTTTTTACATTTTAGAAAATTAAAACAAAACAATTAAATGCATATAAATCATTTCCAATTGTTTTCTACTATTTAACTTGATAGTTTAGATTTATAAATATGAGAATACAAAAAAAAAAAAAAAAAAAAGATTTTATTGCGGTGAA